CTGCCCCGAATGTCCCGAATGGCTGAAACGACGTCGTTTCAGCCATTCAATTTTTATTTTATTTTTTTTTCTTCTTTCTCAGTCTGATACGTAGTGAGGGAGGAGAGAAAGAGAAAGAGAAAGAGAGGGAAAGGGAGAGGGAGAGAAAGAGAGGGAGATGGAGAGGCCGTCGCCATCGCCTTCGCCGCCTCGCTGCTCTGCTCTGATCGTCGCCGTCGCTGCTCTGATCGTCGCCTCCGCCCCTCGTCGGCTCTGCCCCGCTCGTCGCCTCCGCCGATCGTGTCACCTCCGCCGCCTCCTCCTCCATTTTTTAGGCCCCCTCCAGAAATGGATTGGGTTTTGGAGAGATTGAAAATATATATATTCATATTTTTTGAATCATAACCAAAAAATAAATTAAAATCAAATATCATATGAGATATTATTATTAATTTCATAAATTATAATTAAATTAATATTATAACTAAAAAAAAAGAAGTGCCACCGCCCTTTTAAATGGTGATGGTGGTGTCGTTCTTCTTCTTTGAACTGTGGTTTGTTTATGGTTTTTTTTATTAATGAAATCCATGTACTTCGCTTTCTTCTCCTCCCACGTGTGTTTGTCACCCATTTTTATGTATATGAAATTATTAATGCCAAGTACAAACTCATTCAATCAATCAAACAATTAAAAATAGAAAAATGTTTGGGAGCACTAATTAGTGCTCCCACTAATTAGGTGGCAGTGGGTCCCGCCATTAATGATGTGATGTTTTGGTCTTGGAGTTGTGTTTTATTTTATTTTTTTTTACTTTTTTAATGCATTAGTGCTATTAGTGGTGATATTTTTAGTGGGATGAATCATTGTTGTTAAAAATAATAATAATAACAAAATCCGTCCAGCTTGTCTAATTAAAGATTAAAATTGAATCGTTTAGTCTGTATGGTGAATTTATTTTTCAGTCTCGCTTTAATAATTTGAACTGTTCATATTTTAGAATTCGTTGAATGATATATAGTACTCGACGAAAAAAATAAACGGTTGACAGAAATATGATCTGATAAAATAATTATCGATATCCAATCAACATGATGTTTTACAGACATAGTACTCGACAAGTTCTACACATTGAACGATTTAAATTATCAAAACGAAACCCGTAGTGAATCTCTACAGGTCTAACAGTACCCTCCAATCCGATCACGAACTGAAGAAAAGTCCGTCCATTTAAATTAACACTATGCAAATAATTTCTAGAACAATAGGCCCACCAACTCTGCTTTTCCCACAGCAGGTTGTTTGGGTTGTCCTAAATAAGTATATTTTTTGACTTTTTATGAAATATGGGTTGGGTTTGAAGTGATGTGATAGAAACGTGATGTAACTTAAATAAGATGATGTGACTTAAATAGGGTAATGACTTTTTGACTTTTTTTGGTTATGCCAAACCAAGCCTTAAGTTATGTTTCAACAGCAAATCCCATAACAAAATATGAGTTTAAGATAGGAGTGTAAAAATGGCCCACATCCATGGACGGTTGGGAATTCGCCCGCGGTCCGGGGTGGGTCGGCCCGTTTTGGCCTGGTCCCAAGCCCATCAGTCCGCTTAAGGCCCACTCAAGACCCGGATGAAAACTCAACCCGTGTCGAGACCTAGTGTCTTTTTTAGTGAAAAATAATAAAATTTTTATAAAAAAAAATTAAAAAAACAAAACAAAAAATAGTCAGGCCCGGCCCGCCTAAGACCCGAATACCCTTAGGCCTGGGCCTACTTTTTTTTCCCATGGGCTAGCCCGGCCTGAATTTTGACGAAAGCCCACAAGGTACAACATGGGCCGAGCCCGGCAAGATTTACACTCCTAGATTAAGATGTTATTCAAGGCATCCATGTTACTATAAAATTATGTAGTAGATCCAAATATAAAAATCCTCATTTTTTTCAACTCAATAAAAAAACAATTTATAAATATTATTAAAGTAAACACTTAACAGTGTAAGAAAATTAAAAACTACATTATCACATGTGCAGAATTGAACTATTCACTTCTTAATAAGGTATGCCAACTGATTATTGAAAACGACAATGCTATGTAGCTCAAATTTTGTGGCTCAAAAGTGGCTCAAACGGCCAAAACGACGTCGTTTTGAGTACAGAACAACATAAAAATGGTCAAAATGACGTCGTTTTGACCATTTGAGCTACTTTTGAGCCACAAAATTTGAGCTACGAGACATTTTCCTATTGAAAAAATCAAAAAACAAAAAAAAATCCATATCCTGCCCATCAGCATGCCTCTCAATTAGCACTGAATTGAGTTTTAGGGTAAAAAGGAACTAGGGAGTGGCAAAAATTTGGTGTCCCTAGTATTATACTTATTTTTTATATTGAAATTTCAAATCATAATCTTAACTCTACACTATCTTGGTCATCATTTTCAGTCATCATCTATTCCTACCCATTTTTTGCCACTCCCTAGTCCATTTTTACCCTCAAACTCAATTCAGTGCTAATTGAGAGGCATGCTAATGGGCAGGATATGGATTTTTTTTTTTGTTTTTTGATTTTTTCAATGGGTAATGCTAGGGACACCAAATTTTCTACCAAACAAATGACCAAATGTCTCACATGGGTCTGGGGTCCGCAATTTTGTGGGCCCCACACCCATGTGAGACATTTGGTCATTTATTTGGTAAAAAATTTGGAACCTCTAGCATTTTTCAAAAAATAAACAAAAAAAGATGGCCAAATTATTAAAAAGTCTTCTTTGAAAAACGTGTAGCATATTTAGTCACATAACTTTTTGTTTATACTCAAAAATCCTATAACGTTTTTCTTCTTCTTTGCCTCTTTTGTTCTTTGTGATTTTCGGCGATCGTCGACGAGCAATTACATCTTGCTTTTTCTCTCTCTTTCTAATATATAGTCACCGGCGACCGACGACTATTATCGATTGGAGTTCACCAACTATCACCGACCGCCGACTCCTTACTTCACCGTCACCGACGGTGAAGAAGATATATTTTCGATGAAGAAGATAAGTAGATCTACGTAGATCTGATGTAGATCTACATCAGATCTGAGTAGATCTACATCAAATCCGGCTAGATCTAAGCAAAAAATAATTGTTGGAGTACAATCCTCTCTTTATATTTGCCTCTCTCATTCGAGCTCTTAATTTTTCTACATTTTCTCTGCTATACACTTTTCTTTTTCTATTTTAATGGAGAAAATTTTCAAGTTATGAACAAGTTGTTTTGGAATTTTAGTTACAGGCGATGAAAATTGTAAAATTTTACAGTTTCAATTTTTTTTGGTGCTGGAATAAATCATGGTTTAAAACTGTAAAATTTTACAGTTTCATAACATGTTTTTCAGTTTAATTAATAAGGATAAATACTTAATAGATTTTTACTTTGAAACTGTAACATTTTACAATTTCAAAACTTACTTTTCAGTTTGATCAATATTGAAAATTATTTACTTAAACCCTTCAAAAATTGAAAAATAACATATGTTTTTTTCACATTGTTGCTGTTTTTTGTCGTTACATTTTTTTTTCTTTTAGTTTATTAATATTTAGCAAATTTTGTTATATATTTTCCTTCTAATGTCTCCATTTATTCTTTTTTTGGCAATATTCTGGGCATTTCGGTGATTCTTTAATGATATTCTTAACGTCCAGCGAACATTTTGGACATTTCGGTGACTTCCATTGACGTTCATAACACTCTGGTCAACTTTCAACGATACTCCGACAACTTTCCGATGATATTGAACATTCCGGCGAGTCTCCGGTGACCGTTTAATAGAAGTCCGACGGTAGTGGAATGTAACAATGTCTGTAAATTAAAAAAAATAAAAAATAAAATTTTTTTGTAACAATTAAAAATATATAAGACTAATTGATATAAGTGTTTTGTTTTGAGATTAGATGAATTTTGAGTTTTATATATGGAACTTATTTGTAAGTTCTCCAAAAAAGATTATGATTTGAAATGTTATGAAACAATTGGGATTAAAATTTGGACATTTAAGTCAAGGTCCATTTTTGAAACTGTCGGACTAATAGGTCCAATCTTAAATTTTTTGAATTAAAAAGATATTATCAATTTAAAAAGATATCTATATGTTCACAATTTATCTATTTATCTATTTGTTCAAATTTCATTTGTTACATTGCCACCAACCGCTGCACATGTAATTATCACATAAGAAGTTAAATATTAGACAATAATATAGGCCTATACAAATAGATTTTCGTACCAATCATCCCTTAAAATTTTGCATTAGAAAAAATAATTATAACAAAAATTATTAAAATGTGGGGTCCAAATAAAGAAAGCGATTACTGCAACACTTATAAGTAACAATCCAAAACGCCCATGAGAGCTCACCAAGTCTGAGAGTCAGACCTTGTTTTCGCTGGAAATAAAAATAGGGAAAAGCTTCGGACCCCTAATGGGGTTAGGGGCGTGTGGGGTGCTGGTCGGTGCGGTTTGAGAGAAAAATAGAAATTGTATGACGGGTGGCGGATTGATAAAAATGTCACTAGAATTTGTCATTTTCTTTATCAAAAACCGGCGGTTCGGTTGATAAATAATGACGAATTTGCCTTGGCGGTTCGGGCGGATTGGTGGTTTATAAAAAAATATAATTTAAATTACAAAACTTAAATCAAAGAGTAAAAAAAAGACGAGAGATATCGTAATGTTAAGCATCTTGCGAAGCTTTCTTCTAATGTAGCAAGTGTAGCAACAACATGATAATATCAACGATTATACCATCAGTTCATTACAAGCATCTGTGGAAACTACAATGATCAAATACAATACATAAAATTTCCCTCGAGCAGTAATGTAATACTATATTCTAAGGTATAGAACAACAAACAAACTTAAGTAAAAAAGAATTTTTAGAATCCTATAAAACATGATTTAATAGCGGTGCGGGTCGGTGCGGTTTGGAAGAAAAATAGAAACCGGCGGATTGATAAAAGTGTCACTAGAATTTGCCATTTTTCTTACCAAAAATCGGCGGTTCGATTGACAAATAATAACGAATTTGCCTTGGCGGTGCGGTTCGGTGTGATTTTGACAGTTTCGACGATTTCGACGGTATTATACACACCCCTAAATAGGGTATTAGGGATTGCGTATGATTGATCTAAAAAAAAATTTTATTTATTTTTTTTATATTTTTCGCCAATCCTACACTGTCACGTCACTGGAGTGCAAAGCACGACTCATAAAAATAACAGACCCATCGGGTCACTAACTAACTGAAACCCCACAAAATGTCCAAAATGACCTCACCATTCTCAAAACTCCCACTCTCTTTCTTCTACTTCTTCATCACTCTCATGCCCTTCCACGTAATTTCACAGTCCCCGGCCACCACCGCCGACCAGACAACCCTACTCAACCTCAAAAAGCTATGGCAGAGTCCGCCGTGGACAGCCTCCTGGAACTCCTCATCCTCGCCGTGCACCTGGCCGGAGATTCAGTGCACAGCCGGCACAGTCACCGGACTTCTCCTCCGCGACAAAAACATCATGGGCACGATCCCACCGTCGATCTGCGACCTCAAAAACCTCACCGTGCTCGACCTCTCGTACAATTACCTCCAGGGCGACTTCCCTAAGGTTCTCTACAATTGCTCCGGTCTCCAATACCTAGACCTCTCTCAGAACTTCTTCGTCGGCTCAATACCCTCCGACATCGACCGGTTATCCTCTCTCCGGTTCATCAACGTCGGCGGCAACAACTTCTCCGGCGAGATCCCGCCTGCGATCAGCCAGTTACAGGAGCTCCGGACATTGCACCTGTACAAAAACCAGTTCAACGGCACGGTTCCAATCGAAATCGGAAATTTAGCGAATCTAGTGACTCTAGGTATGTCTTATAATACTATGCTTTCGCCATCGATAATTCCGATAGAGTTTGGGAATTTGAAAAAGCAGGAGTACTTGTGGATGACGATGACGAACTTGATCGGGAAAATACCGGATAGTTTTGCGAATTTGTCCAGTCTTCAACACTTGGATCTTGCTATGAACAATCTGGACGGTCCACTTCCTCAAGGACTGTTCCAATTGAAAAACTTGAGTGTAGTGCATTTGTCTCGAAACAGTTTGTCTGGTGAAATTCCAAATCCAATCGAGTCAAACTTGATCGGATTGGACATGTCGATGAACAACCTTTCGGGTCAAATTCCGGCAATTTTTGGTTCTCTGCCTGACCTTCTCACTCTAGATTTGTCGGAAAATCAATTTTCCGGTCAAATTCCGCCCGAATTAGGCCATTTGAAGCTAACCAATTTGAACCTTTCTTCCAACCAATTTTCCGGGAAAATCTCAGATGAGTTTGATTACTTGGCCTATGAAACCAGTTTCTTAAACAATTCAAAACTTTGTGCTAAAACCCCAATTTCAAATCTCCCCAATTGTCTCACCAAAAACAGCAAATCCAACGGCTCATCACCCACAATTCTCGTGGTGGTTCTTGTTTTCACTGTAATTCTCTTCATAGCTACTATTATATTAACCGTCTTCATGGTCAGAGACTACCAGAGAAAGAAGATCAAGCAAGACCTTGCGGGGTGGAAACTAACCTCATTCCAGAGGTTTGATTTCACGAAGAAAATAATTTTGTCGGGTTTGACTGAAAACAATTTGATTGGAAGTGGTGGGTCGGGGAAGATATATCACATCGCTGTCAACAATTTAGGCGATTGTGTCGCTGTCAAGAAGATTTGGAACAATGGGAAGTCAGATCACAAGCTCGAGAAAGAGTTTCTGGCAGAAGTGGAGATATTGGGCACAATTTGGCATTCCAATATAGTGAAATTGCTGTGTTGTATTTCGAGTGATGACTCAAAATTGCTTGTGTATGAGTATATGGAGAAGCAGAGTTTGGAAAAGTGGTTACATGGGAAGAAGAGGACTAGCTCCGCCACTGCGTTGAGTAGTTTGGTCCACCACACTGTGTTGGATTGGGCGACGAGGCTGCAGATTGCTGTTGGGGCTGCTCAAGGACTATGTTATATGCACCATGATTGCTCTCTGCCGATCATTCACCGCAACGTGAAATCTAGCAATATTTTGCTGGATTCTGAGTTCAAGGCAAAGATTGCTGATTTTGAACTTGCCAAGATTTTGGCCAAGTCTGATGTGCCTACTAGCATGTCTGCTGTTGCTGGTTCAATTGGGTACTTTGCTCCAGGTAGGAGCACTTGAGTCATCATCTCTTAACTCTTATTAGTCTGCTTGATTCAGCAGAAGAACATGTTCGTGCTTTATGACTATTGGTATAATAGTAAACAAAAGTCAACTAGAATTAAATTGATTTTGGTAAAAAATATTTTTCACTTTTTGAAAGAAAAAAAAAACATTTTTTAAACTTACTAGACAAGTAAAAGTCTTACTAAAATTATCATTATTATTGTTGTCACCACTACTACTATTAGATCCACCGCCGTCATCATTTTTCAAGGTCATGATAGAAATATAAAAACTTTTTCCAAAAAATCTTTTTCACTAAATATATTTAAGACCATCATTTTTAGGGTCGCAATCAAATATAGGTAAATATTTTAACCAAAATATGTTTTCTAAAATGTCTTTTTCGTGAAAAAAACTTTTCTTCGGAAAATTTTTCAACTAAAACAAAAAGACACTATCTCTTTTTCTCCCTTTCTCACTTGAATTGAAAATGTTGCATTGGTTGCAGAATACGCCTACACGAGAAAAGAGAATGAGAAGATCGATGTTTACAGTTTCGGAGTTGTACTCTTGGAACTGGTGACGGGAAGAGAACCCAACGACGGAGATGAGCACACAAGCATCGTAGAATGGGCGTGGCGCCAATACGAAAAAGGAAACTCAATTGCCCACACCTTTGATAAGGACATCAATGAATCACATTACTTGAAAGAAATGACTACTGTCGATATATTGGGGCTCGCATGCACAGTAACACAGCCTTTTAGTAGGCCTTCCATGAAGGAGGTTTCACAGATTCTACGTCATTGTGGTCCTGTAGAGGGCAGCGAAGGAAAGAAGGCGAGGCGTGAGTATGATGTTGCCCCACATACCTTTCCAACTACAGGCGATCGAATGAAGATGATGACAATGTAGCATGCATTGTGTGATGTTAGAACTGGTTACAGAGTAGTTAATAAGCAGTCTCACCAGTATTATCTGCATCAAAATCAGAATTCTCTGAAGAGAGACAACTCACTTTTCAGAAATCATTTGGCAAGTCAAATCCATATCATCATAATAAAGGGATTAGATGAAGATGAGGATAGTTTTAGTTAAATTTGCAACTTTTGAAGTTGAAATTAGTCATAGGTATTAGATGATCTAGTGCAGGTGTTTTTCTTTTTCTTTTTCATGCAACATCAAGCATGCAAAGGATGTAAAATTTCTCACTAGTAATAGTAGCAAATGTAAATTTTGGAATAAGATGATTTTCTCTTCCGACTAGGAATAAAACAAGTTACCTTATCCCAATTGCAATAACAATTCGAAAAATTCAGTTTCTTCTCAAAATTTTACACTGAGACCGATCAAAATTATTTTACTACTCCAATATTTTTTATATTTTAATTTTTTTAATTTTGACCAATCAAAATTATTATACTACTCTAATATTTTTTATATTTTAATTTTTTAAGCATTAAAAAAATAAATGAGTAGATTAAGAAGAAATACATTTATAGAATAGCAGACATTTATAGAATAGCTCTATCCTTTCTTTTCATTTATTAGTTATGTAGATTTCTATCAATTCTGTTTAGATCATAAATTTAAATAGAAATTTAAAAATGGAAAGAGGAACAAAAAAATAATAAATTATATTTCATTCATATTATTGTCTTCACATTTTTTCTTTCCATTTCTCAATTCCTAATCAAATTCATGATCCAAATACAGTCTTAAAAGTCTCCTTTAAATCACTTATTCACACTGAACCGATAAAACTGAAGAAAAAAAATTCATTTTGATGGTAAATTTGCTCTCAACCCAGACTTGAATCAAACTGATTACACCCTTATTCCCCGCACTAAACATTCATATTTGCAAATATCCACTATTTTTGCCCTTTCTCCATCATACGTACAGCAAACTACCGTCTCCTCCTGCACTCTGCTTTGTAAACGCAATCCAAAGAAAATCGAAATGGCTAAAACCACCCTCGTTGCATCAAAACACCATCAAGACACCTTTTTTTTTTTCCTTCACATAGAAAAATTAACAATGTTGGTGGAGAGAGAGAGAGAGATGCCATACTAGAAATTGTATTGCAAAAGCACAAGTACACATAACACAAAGGTTTAATGAAAGTCACAGGGCTTAGCAGAGACATGAATGACATGTTTGATTGGGTGAATTAGAGTATGAAATTGAAATTGGAATTGGAATTATTAATCTGTGAACCCAACTATCCTATGTTTGTTTTAACATTGTGGTTTAGGATTATTAATCCAATGGATAATTAATCCAACAAATTTGTAAGATTATAGTAATGGGATAGTGGTGGGATTATTAATCTAATGGATATTAATCCAATTGGATAGTGAATACCACACTAATTTAATAAAATTATTAATACTTCCCTATTAATCTTGTGAATCAAACATGACCGAAATTCACAAAACTAACCCTTATTAAAGCTGTTCCATACCGTCTAAACAGAAAGGCATAACATTTTCAACACCAAACAAAGAAAGTAGCAAAGCTGATCAAATAACAGGCTGCCAAGCCCCAAGTTCTGTATCAAAAGTAACTTCCACTGCTCAAAGCATTTTTTTTTCTTTGTTCTTTTCTTTTTTCCTTTTTTTCCCCCTGTTGATTTGTAGTGATACAAGTACAGCTTCAACAGCACAGAAGACAGAACACGGGAGGCACACACTAACCGGCCACATTAAGCAGTCATTCCCAAGTTGCAGCAGGGGGATATTCCTTTCCTCCCCTCTTCTCCTTGCATACCAATGATTTATAGAACAACTTGGCTCCCAAATTTTATGCTGTTGATTTCAGACTCAACCTGCTAGGAAAAAATGACAGAGAAACAACCAAACAGGACAGTATAAAGATAACATGAATTCACATCACAAAATTTACGGTCTCAAAAAACATGCCTCATCACTGGCTTCTGCACTGATTCAGAACTAGCCCGATTCTGGGATTCCGCCGTCATTCCAAGTGCAATAGTCGGCTACAATACAAATCACGTGGGAAATAAGAAATGAGAATTTGGTACCCAACAAAACAGTAACAATGGATGGGAAGAAATAGAGAAGAGAGGATCATGTATCCAAGCCTCGGACAAAGAACATGAATTAGGTTCTTAAGCACAGTAACTGGAGATGTAGCACATGCTGTGGTGCAGGACCAACCACCACACGTACACCAGTTAGAAGATTGTCTGTGCAAAAAATTAGAATGATCAAATGATGATTATGAAAAAATCTAATAAGTAGGAAGGGGGAAAAATCAGTGTCTGGAGGAAAAGAGTGAATCAGACAACATTCCAGCATTGTTTGATATCCTTCAACGTTCGAACCTCTTGCATGGGAGGGACAAACTGACTATTTGATCCTAATCTTCTATTTGCAAACCATGCAAAAAGGCTTGACATAAAAATATGTATCCCTTTTCTGAAATTTTTTGAAACAAAATTGTACAAAGACACCTTGTCCCGTTCCATGACCTTACCATGAAGCAAGAGAGGCACAGGGAAACGTGGTGCATAAACAATAGGGCAGCAAATAAGCTGAGCTTAGTAGGGCTCGAGCTCAGCTTGGCTCATTACTAATCAAGCTCAAGCTTGGTTCAGAGCTCCATAATGAATTTTTTATTATTATTATTTAAATACATAAATAATATAGATACATTATTTGATATATATATAATATATTTATCCTATTATTTAAACGAAAAATAAACAAGCCGAGCTAATTTGAGCTTGAGTTCAACTCATTATTAAATGAGCCTAAAAGTCACTAGCTCAAACTTGTTTATTTACTTAACAAACCGAGCCGAGCCGAGCCCTTACCAAGTTGAGCTCAGCCAAACCGACCTTGCTAACAGCTCGACAATGATGTATGTTAAAAGAATGCAAAATAGAATGGGAAGAAAAAAATGAATTAAATAGGGGAAGAGAAAATCAGAAGCTTTAGATTCACAACCTCTAATGTTTCTGCCAAGCTGTTTTCAAATAATCTGCTCCCATTTAAGCACCCATTTTCCAAATGCAAGTCAAGATCTGCTGTGCATACATTACCCTGCAAGGATCCAGCTCTCACTATCTTCACAACTTCCAGTATTCTTATACCCAATCGCTAACCCAAAATCCTGAAATGGAGGAACTCACCTCGCAACTGAGGTTCTGAACGCAGATATTCGATCCCGGTGTACTTTTATCATTTTCTGCCCGTGCAAAGTGCTTACATGGTTTCACTAGCTCTCCATTATCATCATCAGCACCTTCTTTTCGATTCAGCACTCTCTTAGTATATCTAGTCTCAGAATAATCCACAACAGTCGATGGCCTTACTTCAGGATTACTATCTGCATCCCCAGCTACCAAAGGCTCTAATTTAACCTCCCCAGAGCAGCTGGCTTGAGATGTTACACCAGACCTACTTGCACAACTTTCTGGAGAAACAGACCATGGCCTCAGCGGGCTAACAGAAGCCCGTTTCTCTGGTTTATCTGTCTTTGAATTTACCATTTCAGAATCTCTTTTCCTCTTGAGCTGCTTTTCGGCAGAGTGAGATCTGCAGCCTTCGGCATCTTCTTCAGAAGTTCTTTCAGATTGCTGGTTCGCATGCCTCGACAGTCGAGACCGTTTATACCCATCTGGAAATACATAACTGGGAATTTGCTTCCTACGAACATGAGAAACATAAATATTCATCCCCGGTTTCCAAAACTGGTAGTCGTTTACATATTGCTTAAACTCATCAACTGTTCGACGTATATCAAATTGCTGGCCTTCTTCAACTTTCGCCCCCTGTTTCCTCTGCAAGCCCATGAAAAATGCACAATGGGGGCACAGTTTGGATGTGTCTACATGTCCATTTGGATAAGGATGGCACTGCAACATGCCACGTGTGTCCCGTTCTATCTGCAATGTGACATAGAGGGCAAAGATTAGAAAGGAAAACTATCATGATCAAGTCCATAAGATCACTAATCATCGACGAATTTTGGTACCAGAAAAGAAGAATGAAACTTACCTTCAGAGTAAGTTGCCTAAGCCGAGATTCCACCCAGCCTTTCCAAGCTAGCAAATCATCGGCATCTGCCGCAATTATGTCAATCTGCAAATAGTTTTTGTATGCCTCGAAAAACGGATAAGGATCAAACAAAGCACTCCACTGGGCTTTGTTCAGCTCAATCTTCTAAAAAACAGCAGAAAGGCACACACAACATTGGTCATATGGAGTCAGAAATGGCAAAGAAATAAGAAATTACCTTCTATGTCCCTTACCTCACAGATACTGTTGCCATGATGGAATTGGTCTGTCATAACCCGCAGAGTACTTTTAGAAACATTGTAGCTAGAATTCATGCAAGGGTATGCAGGGGTTATAATTGGCATATGATGGGCTCGATCCCAAGGATTTTTACGACGATCCCATACAGGGAAGCCAAGCTTATCATCCTCTTCTATTGGGCATAGCATCACAGGGTTTGGCCAACGCCACAGTGTATAAACTCTGAAGAATCGTGAGACCAGCATACTGGGGATTGCATTGGGATAAAGCTGGCAGACCCGAGCAACTAAAAGAGCCCAATTTACACCACCAAGAAATCCAGTAACCTATGTACAAAAGGTCAAGAAGAAATAAAATGAGAAGCTTTATCTAAAGGTGAAATGGCAATGACAAAAGCTGGAACTTCAGGATGCTATCTCACATTTGAATAAACACCGCGCCTTTTAGCCCAAAACTTCAAGCATCTGAGTGTCATGCAAAAGTGCTACAATTTTCAAAAGGATTACAAGACTGTTAAGCCAATTATTATTATATCAATCAAAGTAAAGAAGACAATATGTTCACCTCGACATTTGGAACAAGTTTTAGAATTTGATCTGCAACCCTGCATCCATTTAGACTTCGAACAGTTTGCTCATCAATATTGTCAAGCACAGAGCCATCCGAGATGTCCAAGTCCTGTTAAGATGTTAGTTTCACAGTACTGATGACAAAAACTGTGTAGAGGCCAACAAGAAATGCAAACTCTGTACCAATGAGTTTCAGTTTATAAAAGATGGAAAATTAAACGCAGGAAAGGTATCAACCAGAAAAAGTATCAAAAGCATACATGAATCTTAGAAATAGTTCCAATTAACAACAATAAATGCACACTAGAGTTTTGTAATGGTAATGTCAAAAAAGGGTGAATCCAATATGTTGGAAACATGCAATGGTTATAACAACCATACAAGGATCTGTTATTTAAGAAGTGCATATTCCAGACAAGTTTTGATTTTACAATCTGCATAAAAACAGAGCAAATAAACTTCAAAACAAAGTTTAGATAGCCAATCTGTCCCAAGGCATGATTTATCAAAATTAAAATATAACAACTTATTTTATTAAAAAAAAATTCTATCTAATGATACATTCAAAAGTAGAAAAGTGTATTCAATAGAACTGCCAGAAATCAGTTCAGAGCAGGGATTGGAAAAGGGAAAATGAAGATAATAATTGAGAAGGGAAGGCCTCAAAATGAGAGAAAATAGAAGACAATGTAGTTAACAACCATGCAACAAGAAAGACAGGTCTTTTGCACTCACTTCTGGTACAATCGATCGCGATATACTTGCATAAAGGAGATCAATTGATATTCCCTGACACTTAAACTTCATTACTGGGACATGAGCATCTGGAACTGGTTGAAGCTCAGTAACTTCTTCCATTTTAGCCAGCATATCATGCAATATAATAAAGAAATCTTCCTGCAGACAAACATCATATCAACCTTTAAATATAAAGCTTCTGGATTTGCAAAACCTAACAAGAAAGAATGACCCAACCTATAACCAACCTCTCTATTTACGTAAGATGGCCCAACACACAAGGCATCGATGTCAGCCCCAGGCCCATGAACCTGTCAACATAAAACATTTTTGCCACATCCCCTTGTAATCTAAATACACTCACTAACCAAAGATGACGTTCAAAAAAGGATGAAGAAAATTAACAAAATATTTCTTACAAACAACAGAAGTCAGAAATTTGTGTACAGTTTTTGCTCATCGAATTGCTGCAGGGACTATGTAGAGACTTCTGAGTGAACAGATATTTATGGGAGTTTTAGGGCCCCATTTGTTTTGGGCTATAAGGAGGGTATTGGGACTAATAATATCAAGATATTACTAAAGTCCTGTTTGTTTGCGGAGAAAGCCTTGGGACTATTAGTCCCTTGGTATTGTTAATACTCTTAGAAGGGGGATTGGTAAGGAGGAGGTAGAGATGATATTAGAAAATAGTGAGGGGATTAGAAATTTTTTTATTTTTTATATATTGGGAATTTTTTTTAAAATATAATGTTTAATTTTTTATATTTTTTTATTTGTTTTATTATTTTATATAAAAATAATTTAACAATTCCTCATTATTAATCCCCTCACTATCAATCCCCTCACTATTAATCTCCTCACTATCAATTCCCTCACTACCAATCCCCTCACTATTAATCCCCTCATTATCAATCCCCTCCATTCTATCTCCCAAAACAAACGGGCCCTAGATGTTTTGTTTTGCTTTTCTTATAGTGTCTGTGGGTGCCCCCTTGCTCATAGAATTGCTGCAGACAAATCTGTCAAGCCCAATCAAACACTTGAACATGGATAATATGACTTATTGTTCTCTAAGACAACCTGGAATTCCAAATGTCAATGCCACATCCAGCACATAAGCTCCTATTCAACATATCGTACAGTTCTTTGACAAGACCAGCTCAGTGATTACTCTCAACCACCAAATGACAGAACCATCCCCTCAGAGATGAACAAAGAGCAATTTCATTCTACAAAAATTTTATCTTTATCATTTTTCATCTAAATTATTCCAGAAACCCTTCCAAATTTTGTCAGCACCAATAATTTTGGCAACATTAATGAGCCAAAATTCCAAACCATTGTAAGGTCCACTGAAGAAATATATAGGGAAGACAGAATGGTCCTACAACATACAAAGAACATACTGCAATCCTATACTTACCCCCAGCCGGTATGACCCAAAAGTAAATATGACAGCATTTGCATCTTCTACCCTTTGATCTGTGTAACCTCTCTGACGGGTTAATTGCTTCACCCAACATTTCACAACCTACAATATTATACTTCTTGTGACAATCAATTCTTTAACAAATAATAAACTTATTGAAAAAGGCTACAAAATCATCAATTAGGATATACAAAGTCAATAACCTGATAACCTAGAAAAACAACGCATAGTGTTACAAAAAACTTGAACTAATATATTGACTGAGTATAGGGGTGAAGGCAATTACATCACCAGGCATCAGTAGTAAAACTTGAAACAATACAACATACTGACTCAATTTTTCTTTCCACCATGAACAAAAGAACTACGAAAAAAGAGCTTCAGACCAACAACAAAAACTCTCATGGTAATTTATTTATTTAAAGCAGAGTACGACACAAAAATTCATAATGGCTAAAGAAGTCCAAAGATAAATTGAAAGATATCTCAATATCTTTCTTTGTCTAGATAAAAAATTCCACTAAAAGAATCTGGTAAATGATGCACCTTCACATTTCAAATTGAGCTTAGAACCAACCTATAATAGTTTAGGAGCATTACACGCAACACAATAAGTGAAATCCAACAGACAAAAAACTTGGAGACCTATGACTGAGTCATGATATCATCTGCACTACATACTGCCTTGCACGTAATGCATCTGCTCTTCTATGTCCGATACCTAAACAACTGAACAGTTAGATTTTCATCCAAAGAAGTAATACACACCAAGGTTACCTAGAAACAAACAAAATAAACTTCCAAATAAACTTCTCCAGAAAGGAAACATTACTCCGTCTACTGAAAAACGAGAAGATTTTAAGTGAAAACTGCTGAAAGTAGAAAAGTGTACCCACCACCACTGTTGACGACAAACACTCGAGGGAATTCCAAATTTGGCCTCTCAACGCTGCATAGTTCTTCCATTATGTGTAACATGCAACTTTGTTTACAAAGAGAACCAACTCAACAATTACAGAAACAGTCATGGTCAACGGGATTTGAAATAAATCTGGGGAGAAAGTGAAAGATAAGTCCCGTGACAAAAAACTTCCAAAAAATTATTAGACCCATCCACAACAAACTAAAACACATCTAACTTCTTAGATCCATCCACACCCGATGATGAACCTTACAAGTTACAAGGTGTCTCATCACCCCTAAATTCTCGGCACACTTCACATATTTTCCTAAAATCATTCTCTCTCACTAAACATTTTTAACTCCTTAATCTCAATGTCAATTTTCTAATCTTCCTTATTCATAAGATAATAATGTGAAAGATGAGAATCATAAACAAAATTCATTTTTATGATAGGTTATAATACAAGGGGAAGGGGGAAAGTTGACATGGTAAAGCCAAGAGCAATGAGGCACAATCCAAATTTCAATAAAGGTAGAGATTCAAAGGTTGTTTGGGATGTGCTATATAAGTGCACTTTTTGACGTTTTGACTTACAAAGTAGGGAAAAAAAAATATGTATTTTGGGATAACTTTTTGACGTTTTATAAAAAATTGTGTAATAAAACATTATAGATGCACAGTACACTAACCAAATTGTTGACTTTTGGAGTGTGCATGATTTTTTTTTTTTTTAATGGGAATTTGTGGCATGGGATGTGCCACGTCTTCTCACTTTGCTAAATGTATGTGCAAAGTACACTGATTGAACCTGTCGGATATAAAAATAATAATAATAATAGCTTCCCCCACACACTTTTAGTAGGGACTTTTTGACTTTTTTAATAACTTTTTGACTTTTTAGCTTTTATAGTAGATCCCAAACAAGCACCTAGACTCCAAATTTCCTACAAGATAGTAAACATTAGGTACTTCATAAGTCTTTTCTCCACAAATACCTGGAATGGTGAGTAAAATTAAAGGCAACATGAATGAACAAAGGAAACCACCAAACAAAAAGGGTAGTGCCAGAAAAATGGTAGTGGCACATTAGCAAAAGTAGAGTTGAAGAAATCCAAATTGCACACTTGAACAGGGACACACTAGCAGTAGGACTGAAAATGAACCAAGCTCAGTAGGAGATTGTTTGATCTCAGTTCAGGTAAATTTCTTGGTCTTTAGGCTTGGTCAAAGTTGTCCAAAATTGGGACAACTCTATTTTCAGATTAAGCTCACCTCCTATCGAAGTGGCTTGTGAGCGGCTAGGCTCATTTAGCAAGTCAGGACCATCCCTAACACTTGACTTTTCTTCAACCCTTTGTACACCCTTTTCAAACCTTAAAACCTTCTACTTTCATCAATCTGTCAACCACATAAAAACACTAACAATTAGCCCATAATTTTATAGAGCTGTTTCATCGAGGTTGCTCAGGTCTATTGGGGGGAAATTATTTGCAACCATCCTTCACCAGACTTTCATGTCTGGTTACAGTTTTGATTGTAAATAACTCCATTTTAGGGCACACCTAATTTTCGGTGCTTAACTAAAACAGGCCAAAAAATTTATCCTACGTGATCCTATGTCGCAAGAATGTTTCTGGAATTTCTGCACGCATAATGGCTAACATGTCCTTTTAAGCCAATGACAGGCTTTAGTCATGCCTAATATTCAAAATTGAAGTCAAAGCAATACATTTTTTGTTAGTCATGTCATTGAAATATAACATCCCTAAGCAATACAGCAAGCATGTAAACCCTTCAGCAGCAAAGACATTTACTCAAATGGTACAATTCTCACAAGCAGCTCAAATATCATAAAAATCAAAATTTTCTATCATAGATACATCATCTGAAACAGTAAAACACAAACGCAGATGTGTCTCTGTTAGTGAATCACACATGTAAATTACTAATCAAACAAGAAAATCAATCAATCACCTCATCGATGCGGCCAAGGACTGCTTTTCTCCTCGCAGCATCATCATTGCTCTCGTAAAGTCCCGAATCAATCAAAAACTTCAAAAAATTGAGAGAAACTAATCACAAATTTTGCAGCTTTGCACACCACAATACGATTTTTGAACTATTATACATACTTTCTTCAATTCCGCATTTCGTATGAAATCCGCCTTCGATGGACGAGCAAGCGATATCGGTTTCTTCTTCCAATACTCCTTCGCCGTAACAGGCGGCGGCGGCGAACCATCTAGACTCTCCGGCGCCGCCATCTTGGTACCAGAAAAACCCTAAACAAAATAGACACTTCATCGAGTGAATCACGAGAATTCAAATCTACAAAAAAGATAGATCGAGTCTACAGATGTATCAAACAAGAAGAGAAAATCGAAATGATATACAAAATCGAAGCACAAGCGAATGGATATGAGAGAAGGAGAGGAGAGAACCAGATTCAAAAGCTCCGGCGAGAGGGGAGAAGAGGGGGATCGAGGGAGAGTAGAGCCGGGTTCATTGGAGCGGTTCGAGAGTCTCCGGGGGTTGGCGTTAAGGCAGCGTTTGGGATTACAGTCAAAGTTTTGGGTTGAGGGAGGTCTTGCCTTGTGAGCTGTTTTGTCTTTTCCTCTCTCGTTCTCTCCAAAAAGACTTCTAGATCAAACTCATTTTTTTTCTTTTCACACACCCATTTAATATTTTAATTACTCCTATATTTTATCGTTTAAGTATATTCATTATTAATTAAACACAGATTTATTTTTTTTATTTTTTTCAAAAAAGATTTATTTTATTTATTTTTTTCAAAAAATTCACACCGTCATTGCCCGTCCCCCAATTTCTATCTCCCTTTCATTTTGAAATTTTAACTATATAATTTTTAAACTATAATTTTTATTATTAAATATAGACTAGTTTGGTTTGATTTGATTAATAAAGTAGTAATATTATACAAATAAAAATTTTATATAATGATAGTTTTTTTAGATAAATTATTGATAGATCCTAATAATTAAACTTAATTCTCATCAAATCCTATTAAAAATAAATCTTAATAAAATCTTCGTTAAAAATAATTTTTTGTAATCATTTTTTGTATATGTCGTCAAAAATTAATAATTAGCGACTTTTTTATCATAGTTATTATAAATTGTAGGTAAACCTTACAATTAGTGACTTTTTCTATGATAAATTTTTTAAACTGTCACTGAAAGTTAAAAAATAGTGACTTTTTGTAACGATTTTTTTAAATTATCACTAAAACTTATAATTAGTGACATTTTTTATGACAAAATTTTTAAATTGTGCAAAAATTTAACAATTAGTGACTTTTTTTCATAGTGTTTAATAAAAAACACTATTAATTATCATAAAACCTACTGAATAATAAGTTTCCCTATTAAGACCTGCACATAAGTTTTTTTTTTTTTTTAGATTACAAGTGAAAAGTTTACCATTGTTCTATCAACTCAAATTTTTGACTTCCCACTCATCGCACTATAAAGTGTGGCTACTAAATATTGAGTCACACCTTGATGTCTAATATAATGATTTGACTCATTGTAATTCTGTCACTTTAAAATAAAAATAATTAAATATAAATTTATTTACAATAATAATATTATCACATTATTATAAATATTTTTTTTTTTATAGATTTTATGTTTAAAGTTTCCCATAATAGAATCTATAGATTAATGGAAGAAGAAAAAGAAAGAAAGATAGTAGGTAGAAAGTGAAGATAATATGGACAACATGGAGAATAAGGAAAAATATAAATATTTTTTCTATAAATTTTATGTTTAAAGTTTTCCATAATAGAATCTATAGATTAATGGAAGAAGAAAAAATAAAGAAAGAAAGGGATGTTTGGCCTAGTTTTTTTCACCCAACTTATATTTTTTAGCTTAAAAAAAGTAAAAATTAATTGTTTGTTCCAACTTAATCATATCAACTTAAACTTATAACAATTTTCTTTGAAGGTAAATAATTTGATTTTGAAAATCTACTCCACGGGTGCTTCTGATTCTCAACGTAAGTGGAAGAGGGTCAAAATTACTTAAATGTCCTTCACTAATTTGAAATATTACCAAATTGTCATTATTTGAACCACAAAGATATCACTGTTCACTCTAAGAGAGAAAGAGAGATAGGCAATTTCCAACAGTGAGAGGCGATTTCCAATGAAGCTCTCTCTATTCACCAATGTGCCTTTGTCGTCATCCCCTCATCGTGATCAATGGTAAAGTGTTCTCTGACTGTTGTGAGCACTCTCTCTCTCTCTCTCTCTCTTTCTCTCTCTCTCTCTCACTGTGATCTAAAATCTTTGTGATCTGATACTAGAAATCGCCATCTTTGGCGTTATGAGAAGCGATTTCCGGTGCAAACCAGAGCTGTCTCTCTCTCACGATTCTGACACGAACCGCCAGTTCCGAAAGAGAATTAATGACTTCTCTCTTTCTTTCGCGATTTGAAACCATCGCGATTCTGGTACGAACGACTTCTCTCTTTCTCACGAACCAGACATGGTGGCTAGGGCCTCAACGGCGAGGGCTTCGCAGACCACCAGCGACAGCTAGGGCTTCTTGCAGACCACCGGCGGTGGCTAGGGTTTTGCAAAAATTGTAATGAAAAAAAAGAAGAAAAAAAAAACAATTTATTTCAATTAACTTCCATTTAATTTAAAAAAAATATATTTCAATTAATATTGAAATAAATTGCACAATTTATTTCACAATTATTGATATAAATTACACAATTGCACAATTTTAAATAAAGAAATAAATTGCACAATTTTATTTCAATTAATATTGATATAAATTTATTTCAATTAAATAACTTCTATTAAAAGAAATTTATAATATAAAATTCTTTGATATTGTAATAAATAAATAAAAAAATTGTTGCTAATTGATATTAATGAAAAAAAATGAAATAACTTCTATTAAATGAAATAAAAAAAATGAAATAACAATTATTGTAATGAAATGTATCAATTTTTATATTAATTGATACTATTCTTATATTAACTTCTATTAATGAAATAATTTTTTTTAAAATTAAAACTGAAGAAAATAAAAAAATAACAATTTTTATATCTTATAAGGGCAAAAAAGATATTACATAATAAAAAGTTATTTTACAATTTATTCAACTAAACACTACTCTGTTGATTAAATCTATAATCTAATAGTTACATCAAACAAATTAATAACTTCTAATTAAAGTCATAATATATAATCTATTAAGATATAATATATAATCTATTTTAACAGTTACACAAAATAGGACCATATTAGGTGAATCAAGACATCAGAGAAAGTGGAGAGAATAGGGACAACCTGGGGAATAAGGAAAAAGAGAACTAACGGGAAGCTAAAGATATGATAGAGATTACTTATAAGGTTAACTAAAAAGAAGACATTTTACTATTAAAATTGGTTAACCTTAAAGAATATTCATTACTTTTGATGCAAGAGTAAAATATGTAAAAATGTAAAACGTGAAAAAAAATATATAATATGAAAAAAAAATAAAAAATTAAGTGCATCATACGTCCGAACAAATAAGTAATGGATTTAGGCGATTAACAATAGGAGATGGAGATAGTTGAAGAATAGTTAAGAGAAAAAAAATGTAAATGACAGATAAAATATATGAGGATTGTTTTTTTCATATAGGATACAAGGTTGATTCTACTTACACACCATAAATTCTTTCGGTATACACCACTTGCTTAGTTCACATTATACACAAGTTAAAGTTTTTAATTTTGTCTCAATACACACCACTAATTTTCAAATAATACCAAATTACCCTCATTTTCTCTAACAAATCCTAACCCTAACCCTAACCCTAACCCTTGCCCACCGTCGACTGTCGACTACCAACCACCACTCCTCTCTTCTTCTCATCTGCACCTTCTTCACCATCCTCAACTCAAGTGACCTACCCTCTACCATCCTTACTGCTCCGTCGTCCCTACATCACCATCACCGCAGTCTAGATTTGGAAAACCTATATCTTTTCTGTTTATTGCAAGTTCGCATCATCAACACTGCGCCAACATCACCATCGTTGCACCATCACGACTGCCCAAATCTCTCTTATTCTTTTTCTCTTCAAACCCTAGATCTGGAAAACCCAGATCTCTCTCTCCCTCACACGCTCGTGTGTGTTTCTTTCTTTTATTTCTCTTTCACTATAGCAAAATAGTGGTGGGGAATAGAGGCCGTAGAGGGTATAGGAGGAGAGATGGAGCTGCGATGTTGATTGGAGAAGGAAAGAGGTCATCGAAGGGTAAGAATATGGCGTCGGGGGTGGTGGATCGTTAGGGTTTGGAGTGAGCGATGGTGGTGGATCGTCGGAGATGGTGGTTATGGAGTGGTGGAAGCGGCAATAGGGTTAGAAAGGAGGCGACGACAACAGGGACAAAGCTGATGAGGGATGGTGTCGATGGTAGTAGCTGGTGTGTGAGGAGGGTATTTAGGGTTTTGTCTTAAAATGTAATTTCATTGAGAGGCATAATAGTAATAAAAAAAAAATATAGATTAGTAATGTGAATTGAGAGTAATAGTGATGTGTAAATAAAATTACTCAGAATATGAGGATAGTTGAATAAATTTCTTTTGCTATAAAAATTCAAGAATAATTAGGAAATTTAACATTTTAGCTACATTAAAAAAATACATAAACAAAAAAGAAAAGATTAAATAAATGCCGACCCACAAGACAAGAGGCATTTTGTAATTTCTAATTTTTTTATAATTTTCATAGACTTTGATGTTTGTAATTTTGTTGGCTACATATTTTGTATAGGCCAATCACAATTCAACACGTGGTAGGATGAGAGCAATACGGGAAGACAATTCAAATCCTCAATCGTAATCACACACGTGGCAGTTAGTATTGGTTATTGTAGATCTGCATAACACTGGATCAACAAAGAGATGCAAAATGACGTGGCTTTAACGGTTACTCATATATTTCAATTCAAAATCAGAAGGGAAGCCTAACTGCAGACATGGCATAGTGGACCTAACTGTGAGGAAACATGATCAGCGATCATGGAGGGATGGTTCGACGATTAGAAACGCATTTCGACGGTTGTCATTAAGAAGTATAAATAGTAGAGAAGGCTCCAGAAAGAAGCCTCAGACTCAGATCCAAAAAAATCAGTTTTATTCTACTTTATTTTCCTTCCGGCTTTACATTTCTTGTTCTTTACATTTCTGTACTTCAAATTCCTACACTGCACTTCGTTCATAGGAGTAGTTTCAAGTAGTTTATTGCTGTAAACCTCTACGAGGCTAAATTGAATCATTGTAAGTCTTTCATTTTTACTTAATGAAATGTTACAATTGTTCTTCATTTAATCGTTGTTTGCTTAATTCTCCTAAACAAAGCCACCAGTAAAAGTCCTCTTCATTGAGGCTGAAAGAACTAAAACACAATCGTTTGATAATTGGTTGGCAATTTATTTTCTATAAGGACTAATTGATCCTTGCTGGCACGTTTAAAATTACAATAATAACCTTCGAAAGCCAAAAAGCCAACATATATTTTTGGCACGCCCAGTGGGACTAATTGAAATCGCTAGACGTAGGAGACAAGGAAAAAATGAATGCTTGGAAGAAGACGTGGAAGGAGAGGTAGAAATACCTAATCCAGAGGATAATGTGATAACACATCCTATGGAAGTACCTGTTTTATCAGAACCAATGGTCAAACAGACCAGCACTTCAGAGCAAGTATCACGTGTTCAAAGTATTGGACAAGGCCAAGGAATTAGACCATCCATTGTTCCATCTACTCAGCCAATGAATCCATAGGGAGGCCTAGTAGATGCCATGGGACAGTAGTTAATGAACACAATGGAAAGATGGGCAACATCCTTTTTGAATCGAATGAATACTCATCAACCAATTAATGCAAGGTACATAGAGGAAACTTCAAATGTCCCTTAGGAAAGATTGGCTAGATATAAACAACCTATGCAGAGTAATGGGCATACTAATGGTCAAACTAGTAACCAAAACTATGAAAGACCATCACCTCAGTCTTGGTATGAGCCTCTTTCGAGGCCTGTGACAAATCAAAATGCCTCATTACTTAATAATGAAACCATGCAAATTGGTGGATCCGGGCCAACACAAGAAAACGGCATAAGGATGCTTCCAAATCCCATGTTCGAAGCCATACCTGGCACAAGGGGGTTCACTAATCCTTTGTTTGAATTTGTATTCGGGGGGTTGAAAGGGTTTCTTGTGACTGGAAGAGACACAACACCCGTTCCAGCACCTTTCGCAGGTCCTTTCGCAGGACATGCTCAGAGGGGTCACCAATACCCTCAACAGCAGCCAGTACCACAGGGACAACCAATCCCAAATATACCGCCCTATGAACCAAAAAGACCTCAGGCACAAGGTTGTCCACCAAATCCTGTGTTTGTTCCTCCAGTAGTGGTTCAACAAGCACAAAATATGGTTCCTAGGGACCAAATTGCTGATATTGTTAGAGAGATGTGTGGACCGATGGCTTGGGGGGTTCAAACTCCTATGTACAGGAAACCATATCCAGAATGGGTATATAGGGTACATGAATACCCAAGAGGGTTTAGGATATCAGACTTTGCTCTTTTTTATGGAAATGGAAACCAATCAACGGTAGAGCATATTGTTAGGTTCACTGCTCAATGTGGTGAATTTACCAATAATGATTAAATGAAGTTAAGACTGTTCCCAAATTCTCTAACTGGAGCAGCCTTTGTATGGTATATTAACCTTACACCTAGCTCTATCCAAACTTGGCAACAAATGGAGGAGGCATTTCATGCCCAATTTTTCTAAACGAAGCCAGAAGTTTCTATGGCAAACTTGGCAAGGTTGAGTCAAAGGCCTGATGAGAAAGCTGCTCAATTTATTGCCAGATTCAAAAGAGCATGAAACAAATGTAGGATCATCCTACCAAAGCCTGAATTCGTGAGATTGGCTCAAAATGGTCTAGAGTTTAGGCTTCGAAAGAAGTTTGACTCAACTGAGTTTAGAGACTTAGTGGAACTAACCTATAAGGTGTCTAGGTATGAAGCATTACTAGAGGAAGAACAAGATCGAAGTAATGCATCATACAAAACATATTATAGAGATCCTAATTATGATATTGATGCAGCAAAGATTGTAGGGAAAGAACCTGTGATCTGTGAGGCATTAACTCATAAAGACACAACAATAGACCAACAGTTTAAAAAAAAAGACCTTCGTAGGAAATACTCTTTCGATTGAACAAAGGTAGATGACATTTTTGATCATTTGCTTGCGGCAAACTTCTTGAAGTTACCAAAATGAGACAAAATTCTGTCTCCAAAGGAACTTAAAGGAAAAGTGTATTATAAATGGCATAATTCTTGGTTTCACTCAACTAAAAACTGTGTTGTTTTTCAAGGCAGGATCCAAAAACAGATTCGAAAGGGGAGTTTAAAATTCCCAGCTAAAACAGAAAAGGTTATGGGGATTGACACTTATCCATTCCCATTTATTGTGATTTCCCATTTGAATTAAGCCTAAACACATACAGTCATCCACCGAAAAAAAAAAGAAAAGAAAAACAAAGCTCAAGCATATATATGTATAATTATGCATATAATCCATTATTTTAATACTATAATAATATTCATACAAGAGCTCCACCAGTCATTAGTTCCACTAGCATATTATATGTATAGGAAAATGTTATACAAATTACTCAGTAGAGAGAGAACTAAAATATATACATGCATATTTGTGATCTGCATTCATGATTGATGACTGGGTATTGCTTGATTTTAGTTAGATGTACACATCTGGATAGTGGGTTTTCCATTTGTGGATCAAAATTGTTATTCTTTATCATCCATTTTTTGTGGGTTGATTGTCAATTTTGTGAATCTGGAATTCCTAATTTTTTTGATTTCTTATTTTTAACTCTTTTGAAAGAATGTTAATTGCTTTATTATCAGCTTTTTTTTGTTTTGTTTTGTTATATCTTTGGAAACTTTGGCGATTGATGGGAATCAGCTTAATTTGTGATGATCATAGAACAAACACAGGACAGAAAGCAAACACTACTAGGATAGAAAGCACATGAATGGATAAAATTTTACAAAATTTATTTGTAGGCCCACTTCTCAAAAATCCTATCCATCACTTTGTTTTGTGTCTTTGAATTTTTTGGTTTCAATATATACATTGTTAAGTTTGTCTCTCTTGAAGCAGCCAAAACTTTTCATTTTACTGTATGATAAGCTCTCATTTTAATGTCTTCGGATCATATAGAAACACACACGTACACAACTTGTATTGTTGAGTTTGATCATTAGTATGTTTACTAGTTTGTTTTGAAAAACAATGAGTTGCAAAGTGTGTAGCCTTTATTTTTTTTGTTTGCTTGGCAGCTGGGATATTGTTGTCCTATTTCCCAAAGAAGAAATTTATATCCCAAGCTTACTTACTTTGATTACATTATTCAATTGGTGTTTATGTTATTTTTTTTTTAATTATTTGTGTGGTACTAAATTATAGGTAATGAAAGAAAATAATGTTGTCAATGAGTTGGCTAGTTGTGGTTGAAAGCCGAAATTGGGCATGTCATTTGACTTTGAGCAAACTGCATATGACTTTTACAATAACTATGGTTAAAATGTGGGCTTTAGTATTAGGAAGACGTATGCACATAAGAACAAACAAACTAAGAAAATAACTTCACTGACTTTTGTATGTTACAAAGAGGGAACTCGGGGTATTGACAAGCGAGATCCACTAGTAAAATTTCTGAGACAAGAGGTGAGATGTGGTTGTAGTGCCCGATTGAGTATCAAGTTAGATAGAAATTTAGGAAAATATATTGCAATTGATTTTGTTGAAAATCATAATCATGACCTTATGCCTCAAGAATGCATTCATATGTTGCCATCTCAAAGAAAAATATCTACCACCCAAGCAATTTGGTAGGAAATCTGGTGGAAGAGCATCACTTGGCTTCACCAAATTGGACTAAAAAAGTTACTTGAGATCAAAGAGACAAAAAGATTTGGAATATGGAGAAGCTGGTAGTGTGTTACAGTATTTTCTTAAGAAAACTGTGGGAAATCCATCATTTTATTATGTAGTCCAATTAGATTGTAAAGAGCAAATATGTAATATATTTTGGGCCGATGCTCAAATGATAATGGACTATGCTCAATTTGGTGATGTAGTGACCTTTGACACTACTTACAAATTAAATAATGAGCATAGACCTTTTGGGACTTTTGTTGGATTTAATCATCATCGAGAAAGAATGATATTCGGTGCAACATTGATGTATGATGAGACTTCCAAATCATTCACATGGTTGTTTCAGATTTTTTTGGAGGCAATATCAAACAAAGCTCCAATAACTATTTTCACAGATCAAGATACTGCGATGGCTAAGGCTATTCCAATTGTCATGCCTAATACAAACCACCGACTTTGCACATGGCATTTGATGCAAAATGCTGTGAAGCATGCATGTTCTCTTTTTGGAGATGTAGGGATAAAGGGTGTGTTTTCAAAATTTATGCATGAAATTGATGATGAAGAAGAATTCATAATACAATGGGACCAAATGCTTGATAGGTGTGATGCACGCAACAATCATTGGTTGGAGCAAACTTTTGGTGTGAAGGAGAAATGGGGATGGCCATATATTATGAATTCTTGGGCAGCTGGAATGAGTATTACTCAACTAAGTGAATCATTTAATGCATTTTTGAAGGATTATCCCAATTGTGATCATAACTTGATGGAATTTTTCATGCATTTTGAGACGGTACTCTATGACAAGAGGTATAAAGAATTAGAAGTCGAGTATAATATGTCCCAAAAATTGCCAAGGGTTTCCATTCCAACTTTGATGTTAAAGCAAATGGCAGATATTTACACCAAAATAATTTTGGAGGAATTCCAAAATGTGTATGTGCAATCCATTGAAGTATCTATTGTAGGCATTATTAATGATGGTGAGAGTACCATGTTCACAATTCGAACGGTGATAAATGGAAAAAAGAAAGATAAGAATGTGACAATAGATAGAGATAGTTCTTTGAGTTGTAGTTGCAAGAAGTTTGAAGTGAAGGGCATAGTGTGTCGACATTGTCTGAAGGTGCTCAGAGATATATTCAATGCAACAGACCTTCTTGCATAATACATATTGAAATGATGGACTAAAAAAGCAAGGGCTAAAAGTGTGAAAGATAGCCGTGGATAAGATGTCAAGGCTGATGTGAAATTACATCAAAACGACCGACATAGGTCATTGATGAATATGTTTAGAGCAATAGCAAGTAGAGCCGTTGAAAGTCGAAAAACTTATCATTTGTCACTTGCAAAAGGTGAAGAATTGAGTGTAATGGTTGAAGACAAATTAAGTATGCACACTTGTGGTCAAGTGGAGGTCACTGAATTGAGAAATTTGTCAACTAACACATGCCCATAGAGTGATGAAGTAGATTGTCTAATCCAAGCTAAGGAACTCAAGAAAAGACAAGCAACTAGTAAGGGAAGAAGAAGGATCAAGGGCAGGATGGAAAAATCTATTGCAAAGAAGAAAAGAATGCAATCTAAGTAGGTAATTGTTATGTGATATGTGTTACCAATTTTGTGTTATGTGTGTTGGAAAAGTAATGAATTAAAAAAATTGGTCATTTGTAGGGTGGTACTTTTTGTACTCTCGAAGGTCAATCTGAGCCTCTTGCCGCCATGGGTAATAATTCTATTCAGGTAATATTTACTATTGTGTGTAACCTTGTATTAATTTTGTTGGATTGGTTATTCATGTAATCTAGTAGGGTGATATTTATTATTTTGGTATTTTTTTTTTTTGCATGTAGGATGGTTCTTTTTGTGCGTCCCAAGGTCAATCTCAACCTCCTTTGGCCATTGGTAATCATTCAATACAGGTAATATTTAATATTGTATGCAACCTTTGACATGCATAGACCTTAGGGAAATTGAACCTCATACGGAACCATTGTTTTACTTTATTAATGTTGTTGGATAACTAAGATTCTTACATATCTTCATTGGTTCTTCTTGCAATGTAGTCATGTGAATTTTTTTTTTCCTGCATCGGTTATATAGGGTGTTACTGTTTATACTTCCCAAGGTCAATCTCAGCTTCCTTTCATTATGGGTAGTAATTATGTTGAGGTAATAATTCATATTGTGTGTTTTTTTTTTTTAAAATGAAAATGCATTAGTAATTTTTTTTCATTTCATATATTATTTGCTTTTTGTTGGTTTACTTTAGGGTCATGGTCATGGTGCCTATATTTCTCAATCTCGACCTGTATTTCAAACTCAACCTCCCTTTGCCATGGGTCATACAAGTGTTCATCATGTCATGTATCCTACATATGATGTGAGTTATAATTGCTTACATACTTTACATTCAAATGGTAGTATACATTGTATCAATATTTTAAAAAATTTAGCACTATTGCAGGGAAGTAACACGTGTCAGTCAATGCCTTTAGTCTATCCCATTCAGACATCATTTCAGGAGTTGCTTCGAGGTATTACTGTTCAATACTTTGCAGTCCAAATGTCGCAAGCCTTACATAGTCCTGTTGACAGTCATGTACAAGGACATCCCTGAACGAACGATGATGTTATTATGTTTTTCAGATTTGGGTGTATTTTTTTATGTTGTTCAGATTTAGGTCATTATTGATGTTATTTTTTTGCAATGGGAACAATGTTTGGAAAGTATATGTTTGGGAACAATGGGAACAATGTTTGCAATGGGAACAATGTTTGATGCATGTTATTTTTTTATGATGTTTTTTGATTCTTATGCTATTAATGAGAAGAATATACAAATTTTATTATGTTTGGTGTTCGCTGTATGATTGAGATAGGGATTTACAGGTTTAAATAGTGGGAGCAGAATGCATGCATATATATACTTGGTAATGGAAAGATTAATGTCATTGATTTTGTGTTTTGATTACACCCTGTAATGTACAGATTATACTACTCTGCTGGGGGAGGTTCATATTTTTGGAGCATTGATCTACATTGGCTGCTTGTTTGTTCATGTTATCATGTTTATAACAATGAGAATGTAGTTTGGCATGGAGCTCCTAATTTATGAAAATGTCATGATTTATTCTACAAAATGTCATTGATCTACATTGGCTACTTGGTGAACCTGTTGCTGGACAAATTGAGGACCTGAATGGATGAAATGTTTATACACTTGAGCCAAGTTATACACTTGTACACTTTATGTAGTGTGATGTTTAGACCCCAAACATATCAAATTATATTATCATTGAGCTTGTATAAAGTTCACAAAACTATTACAAATAACCACATAACAAGTCCAAATAACCATACAAAAATAAAGTTTACAAAACTATTACATCTTTATAACTAACACGATACCAATTACTAGCAAGATGAACAACCCATAAATACGACACAAATTTCGATTTTTGTTTGTTTCCAACTTAAGCATCTTCGCCCTTTGAAATCAAAGTTGTTCGCTTTGAAATCGAAGTTGTTCGCTCATAAATCGAAGTTGTTCGGTGACAGTTGGCATATTTTCCATTTGCATTGCTTCTTCACCTCTACATTGTGAATTTGTAAGCAAGCACCATCCAATAAAATCACCGCAATCATGACAATAATAAAATAATTTATTTTTGTTTCACTCCGTCTCGAAAATTCAAATAGTTGATTTTTTACGACATTTAGGACAATTTTTGTTGCAATACGTTAATTGATCTGAGGTACTACTGTTTGTTGGACAATCTTCACTGTATTTAATTAAGTTAAATTCTGTTGTGTACAAAACAACAACAAGAATATAAAGAAATAAAGAAAAAGGAGAGAATTTGTTTGATTACAAAAATCAAACTCGAAATAATAAATAAATATATAAAACCACAGATTTTTATGACATTTAGGACAATTTTTGTTGCAATACGTTAATTGATCTGAGGTACTACTGTTAACACTTGAAGTTGACATCTGCAAAATTATATACACAATTCATAGGTGAAAGACTTATTCTATTTACAGATAGCTTGTAGACATAACAGTTAAGTAAGAAGTACATAGTTAAATAACAAGAGATCATATTCTCTCATTTCACTGAACTTCACAAATCAATGTTTTGTCAATGTGATGGATCACAACATCACCGACCTTTTTGTTCACAAATTTCAACCATTATTGATTTAAATAAATGATCTTCCATTGAACTATATGAATTGAATTAACAAACTTTAGGGAAAACCCTTGATGTCACAATTCTACAACATTATTGAGCTCAAGTTCCAAATCAACATTTTCAAGATAATAGTGATGTAACTACTTAACTTTTGTGTTATATAAATGTGTCAAGCTATCCAGATTTTTTAATGGTTTTATTTCATTCTACTTAGAATTCACAACAAAACATTTTCTCATTCATAACATTTGAGTCTAGTTTATTTTTCCTAGAGTTAAAACTTATGTTCACACTAAATCTCAGCAAAAGGTTATGACTTTCAATTGATGATGGAGAGGATGCCATACCAATTTTATTTAATTTTAAAATATATAAAGTTATACATATATTGCCATTGAAATGCATGAATAACTAAGTGCATCCTTACTACCACCATGCTCATTAAAGAAACCATCATCAATAGATGTAGAAACTGTTCCTGCTATCAAACTCAAATAGCACTATCAGCTTAAGATTAGGTACATGGAGATCGGTTCTCATCAATTACTAAAACAAGGGTTAAGCACACCAAGAACCCTTGTTTTCTGAAACAAAACCCTTGGATTCCATTAAAGGGTTCATGTAAACCGCTTGAAGATTAAAGACAATAGAAATGAGTAAAGAGAATATTAAAGATATATTTGATCATTGAAGATTACAGATAAATATTACAGAAATTAACATCATCAATGTGGTGAGTTTAAAGAGGTTGCTGTAAACTTTTAATAGAAATTTAAATTCCAGATTTCAAGTTAAATCCATAGAAAAGAATAATAATAAAATGCATCAATTCCAGATTTCAAATTAACATCACCTATAATAACAAATGTGTACTTCAGACTATTAATGGAATTAATTCAAGCAATATATTTTCTTTTGGGGGGGGATTATGGTCTTTCACTTTCAAACCTGTTCTTATTGTTCTATATGACAAACTTAACTGTTTTCTTACAATCGTACAATTATCGATCTTATTCACCTACATTGTCAATCTTAGAATTCAAAATGCATCAATCTCTTGTTCAGATATTCAAAATGCATCAATCTTATTCGGGTGTGAATGTCATAATTTTTTTTTAAAAAAATAATCAAAGCAGAGGTAGAGAAATGGGTAGCGTTCTTGTAAATGACCCATGGTTCAAGTTTGATACACCAAACATCTGAATCCAACTAAAAAATAAAGCTTCAAAATTCATCGTGCAACTAGAAGGTTCATTGGATACTAGAAACGGACCTCATCGTCGCTTTCTCTATTCATCTCTAGCCGCCTCAGTCGCCTCACTGCCGCCTCTCCTCGCATCGTCTTGCCTCCGTAGCCTCTCCGTTCGTCACCTCCACCACCCTCACCTCACCTTGCTTCTACATGCATCGCCTCCATTCATCGCCGCTTTCTCTCTCGTCCAGATCGTGCCTCTTTTATCTCAGAGGCTAGGGTTCAAAATAAGAAAAGGGGAAAGCAAAATAAGAAAGGCAAAAAAAAAAAAAAAAATCCAAAACAAGGTCGTTTTGGAGGGCGGTAGGATAGTGCAGCCGAGGATTCAAAAGAACATAGAAAAGGATAGAGACGTGGTTGGTGAGAGAGAGAGATTTCGCATAAGGTTATCCTTATGAACATAATATTTTAACGCATGATTTTTTGGACAAAAAAAAATTTGAATTTGAACAGTTGGACTGAGCGCCCTAAAAAAACTATAACTTACTTGAGATGCATTTAAATTTTGAGTAAAAAATAGCTAATTGGCTGTCAATAAACAAAAGATAAGGATGAAAAGATCCACAAATTTTAATGTAATTTTTACATAATTTAAAATATTCTTACATATTTTTATGTTTTTTATTACACCTATCAACGTAATTTTTATATATATCTCTTTTTATTTATTTTTGTTTGTACTATTTTTTAACTTTCAGTAAAAGAATTTTCCTTTTAAATTAAATTAGAAAATTTTGAATTTTTTTTGAAAACTATTCAAAGAAAATTAGTTAAATTTTATCAAAAAATACTAAAAAATTTGACATATTTTGGTTCTAGTGAAATTTATTTATTTATTTATTTATTTTTAAGTTTAAGATCTTTTAGTTTAAATGGACTTATAAAAACTAAAATTGAAAAAAAAAATGATTGAATGCAAATACTAAACTCAATTAAGTTTCATTTTAATAATTAAGCCACTATTCCAATTCTTTAACACATAACTAGGTTATTATACATGTTCACCCCTTTATGATTAATTAAGCCCATAATGATAAATTAGGGTTTCCCTCCACTCTTAACATGAACATGCCCAGCTACCTCTTCATTAACCGAAACACCCACAACTCATCCAATTCCAACTCTCAAAATCCAAACCCCAAACCTCAAACCCCTATCATGCTTTTGTAAAATTTCTTAACAACTTGTTTTTAAATGCTATAAAAACTAGCACATGTATATCTATAACGAGGTATTGAAAAGGAGCAAAGAAATCCCTACCTCAAGCAAGAAGAGAAGACAATCCAAAAACTCACCGGCCACGAAACAACGATCAACTCAGATTAAATGAAAGCCTTCATGAAGCTCTTCATTTTACTCAAAAGCACTATGGTGGTGAAATCAATGGATTTGGGTGTATGAGAGGTTTTAAACAATAACTAGATAGAAAGAGAGAGAGAAAAAATTAGGATTAGAAATGTTTTAAAGAGATATCAGTCAGTGTTTGAGAATCAGTTATCTGCGGGTATCAGAGATTTAGTTTTCGAGGACAGTGATTCAGGGATAATGATCAGTGATTGAAGACAGTGTGTGTTCAGCTTATCGACCATGTGTTGTTATGCCCAGCTGTGTGTTGTGTATTTACTTTAAGCTGTTATGCTGTCCATTTATCTGTTTATTTATTTCCTTATTGCTTTATTTACCTTTTTACTAGGGGCAGTTTTAGCACAATTGCTTCCGACCCAGTAGATATTCCCCAAGCACTTTGGACAAGAGGTCGTCGGCTCAATCGATCCGAGGATCTGGTTGACGGACAGCCAGTGTTTCATTCTCTACCCCTAGTTGTTAGAAGAAGGCCAAGAAAACGCAATGTGTCTGAGCAGAGGTTACCAGAACAGTGGTCTACCCTAGCAGTGAACAGTCAGGCTGAGGTTTTAGTTTCTGCCATAGAAATACACATACCAGTCAGTCAGCAGGATCAGCAGAGTGTAGCCGGAATTGAGGAAATGATACGTCAGCTCCAAGAGAGCATGAAGCAAATGCAGGAGGACGCTGTCCGCCAAGCGGAATTCTCTAAACAGCAGACCGCAATCATGGCCCAACAGGCGGAGATAATTACCCGGCTCTAGCAGCAAGCCAGAGCGTCAGCCTCACATCCAGTTCCTCCCCCACCAGGGATCCCGTTACCAGAACAGACACCAACTGTCCAGAATGCCTTGCCAAACACCCAGAACACTTTATCCAATGTCCAGAACATCCAGGAGGACACAGACCTTCCAACGGGGCCAGCTCCGCCTCCATTTCTGCCTCAACTGTCCAAGACCCATACACCCAACCACCCG